TGATTTTATAACAAACACAGTCACTTACCCGATTATAAAGCTGTGTATACATAGTCATAACAAAAATGAAGGCAGCATGAATACAACCCAGTGGTGCTAAAAGGAGAAACAGTGTGAACGAAGCATGATTTTGGTAACCACAACAATTGTTGATCCAAGGACAGTGATGGTCCATCTTCATCACACATCTAACAAGAAAAATTTACATAAAACATGAGGCAGAAAATCCTGTCTACTTTAAATAATTTTGGTCTTTAAAAGATCAAGCAAATAGGAATCCAGCATGTCCATGAGTCTCAGAGGATTATACTCCATGGAACAGAAAGCGAAGTCTTTATGAGTTTTTCAACAACACTGAACAGTGACTTCTTTCAAATTCTAAACAGCATGAGAAAAGTCAGGCTTTCTGACAGATTCTGAGGAAAAGATGTCTGCTACAAGTGAGTTTGTTTTAAGAAGTCAAGAGGCCCACTGAGAGGTTCATTACAAACAAATAGGCATGGGTTCCTGGTCTTCCTCTAGCTCTGAAATGCAGTGACTGAAGTAGAGTACAACAGAGATTCAACAAAATCACTTCTAAATCTCTACCAGGGTTGGTTGATGGGACCCAGCAGACCTTATAACTTCCTTCCTTCCTGTTCTCATCCTTTAGATGTGGATTCTCTGAGCTAAGCAAGCTAACTATGGAATATAAGATGTGGTATAACAAGCAAAGTCTTACTGAGCTTCCTTCCCTTGTTGCTAGAAGAACATTTCCTGACCTCACACCAAACTATATTTGCCACAAATGGTTTTCCTAAACCTTAACGTTCTTATCACAAATTTCTTATTAACTGGTGGAAGAGCTGTATATTTAAAAAGGTTCTAGTTTATTTCATATTTCTTATAGTGATTCAGTTTTCTTCCCATTTTTTTATATTACACACTAGTGACAATATGCACCTGAATTCATTTATTAGATATGCATAAAGTGTAAATGCTAGTCAACCCAAATGATGGGAAAGGGCAGGTGACCCTTATAATTTAGACTCAGAACAATTCTAAAGCTAGTCATTTCCTTTCCTTCACAGCAGACAAGCACAAATTAATCCTGATCTATGGAAACAACTTGAAGGCGTAACTTTTTACTCTTGGCAGGGCAAGAAGCAAAGTAAATGTGTATTTTTTCCAAAAAGTAAATAAGTAAATAAATAAAATCTTTTCACTTATGACAAAAAAGAGGCTTATTTATCATCAAAATTGGTAACTTAATAAAATGGAGATATGGACACAAGTATTTTGACAATGTTTTTTTATAAAGAAGCCACCTTATAGAGACTAAAACTAAGACTGACGTGGTAGAAAGAACAACATTAAGACCAGTAATCAAGTTGATCAGTCCTCAATGAGGAGCAAAGATAGACAGTACCTGTTACACTTTCTGCAGTGATGTGACCGTGGCGCCTTGTATGCTTGGCAGACTTTACAATACTGGAGGTACATGCTATCCTGAGAATCTTCCTTGGTAGCAAAATATAAACAAAAATATATCAGTTATCAGTTATCTGATCCTAAGTAATAACATGTCAAGTCTTATGAATAAATGCTTTGGCACGGTTTTCTTTTCTTTTATGGGCGGTGAGGATAAGGATGGAATCCTAACCTGCATGTCCAGCCCTTTTATTTGAAATATTTTTAAATAATGAGTTTCTGGTAACAGCTGCATTGCGCTTCCAATTACCAGAACTCATTTTTAATTTCTCTTCCCCATGCTCCACCCAAACCCACTGCCACTGATTGTATTTGGTTCTACTTTTCCAAACTCCTAGTAGAATGGGAGGAGTTCCGGAAAAAGGTAGCTGACCATGCGGCAGGTATTTTGGAGGTGGGGATTCAAACATTGGAGCTGATATTCTTTAGGAAATCTCTCTTACACCATTTTAATCACTTCTAAGTACTTCCCTTTACTGTAGTTTCTCTCTAATCCAAACTGTCTACTGTCAGAATAGTATTCTTATAACACAACTCTGATTAGGTCAGAGCTTGGCTTGAAAACCTCTACTACCTCCCTATGGCCTAACAATTCCTCATGCACTTAAGGCCTTCCGCAATCTGCCTTTGTTTCAGCCTCATTGGCACTACATAACCTGTTACTTCTGACTATATACTTCCACCACCAATCAACCTGAAATGTCTTCTTCCCCATCCGTGGAAATTTCCACTACTCCTTCAGGTCCGCAGCTGAAAAAGATCAGGTCCTCCTAGCTTCAACAGCACTCATCCCATTCTTCTCTATAGTTTAGTTACTTACACAAGTGCCTTGGTTTCTCTCAATTATAAGGTTTTTCAGAATACGAATTTGTCTTACTCATCTCTGTACCCACTTTAGTTTCTCCAACATTAACATACCTAAGAATCACCTGGGGATTTTGTTAAATGCTGATTCTGATTCCTAGGTCTGGAGTGGAGCCCAAAACTCTGCATTTCTAACAAGCTATCAGGTGGTGTCCCTCAGCAAGCAATATGGAAATTCATGAGCGTAAACTTTCTACAATTTTTAAAAAGCCACAAATTGATTCATACTGTACTTCCTTATGTGATGATTTTAACACTTTATGATTTAAGCCAGCAATTTCTAAAGAGGTTTTCTCAGTTCTGAGGGCTGTTAATGTATTACATGACAAAAGATCCTAGAGCCAAACTGCACCATGGAATTATAAGAGGTGTATTACATGCAGTATTTCTTAAATTTAGGACTATAGACCCCCCAGTCCCCTTCATTCTTTTTTTTTCCTTTAATGAAGGACAAGTATTCACTAAAATTTCTCTGGGAAATACTAATTTAGATGAATATTTTCAAAACAGATACAAAATAAATTATTTGAGCTCTAAATGATCAGTAATTAGAATAATACGCTTAGCCTCTACCAAGGCAAAAAGTAGGCTGTGTCTGATACTATTGGTTAGCAGATAAAGCCATAAACTAAATATATGATTATCATTAGAGTTCCTTATCTTAAGGGATCTTTTTCTTACCGGTTTCCACCCCAAAGGAACAAAGCCAGGACCAATAAACATGGCATTGAAATAATTATAAAGAATCATGACAGTCCAGTTTATCAACATGATGAAATTCACGCTTCCTCCAGTTGTATGTAAAGGCCAATACCACAACACAGAGTCAATCATGGCCATCGTAGAACATATTGCTATAACACCAAGGGCTATGATGGGACCCCAGTGACACAGTCTCTTTAATTCTTGGAGATTTTCAAACTTGATAACTGAGCAGAATGTACCCATTTTGGTGAGGAAGAATGTCTTCCTACTTTTAGAAAATTACAGATTTCCTTTTTCTGTGCACACATTTCCATGTGTCACAAGTCCATGTGTGTTCCTTAATTGTCATGCCTTCAAGCTGTGGGATGTTAATGCAGATTATGCCATTTTCATTGTTACACACTCAGAGCTCTTTATCTTAATTAGGAGAATCCAGTATCTTGGCTTGAAACTCAATCTAAAAAAAATGAGAAAGTTCAGTAAAAAATTTTATTATATACCATTTAACTCCCAACAACCACCTAAACAAAGGCATCTCACAAGTGCACTACTATGGGATGAGCACCTAATCAAATGCCAAAGAGAACTATTTTTATCTGATCCAAAATAGGGCTCAAGTCTGAATGGCATATAAACTGGATACATGACTCTAAAATAGTGGTTTTTATTCCCTTGTTTTCAACTTGTCAGGGAACCGTGACTGTCCAACGTTTAGTGAATGGTTTAAGGAGACAAAGAATTTTAGAGCTGGAGCAGGCTTTAGGGTTGATTGAATCCAGCTTCCTTCTTCATAGAAAAGAAATTGGCTTGGAGAGGCTAAGTGATTGCACCAAGCTCACAAGTAACAGCTGAACCTAGACTAGAAACCAAGCCATCGAACTCCTTTTACGAAGTTCTAAACTGCCTTTTACCGAGTCTCGATTTGTCAAGAATGAGCCCGACGCGGTCTATACATTTGCCTGCGGTTACCCCAAAACACCAACTTAAGGATCTATTTGGGCCAAAGGTAAAGAGGCGAGCGAGTGAAATCAAAGAGAGAGTGAAAGGAGGGGACGGGAGACAGAGGTGTATGTGTGAAATCATGACTCGAGGAACACGGGAGGATGAACATGAACGTTGAGAAAAGGAGGAGGTGCCTCCGGAGCGAGGGACAGGGAAGGCAGGACCGCGAGCGTCGGAAGATCTGTGGAAGGATTTCTGACTGGACTGCAGTGAGTCAAGGGAACATCTCAGACACAGGGTAATACGGACTTTCACGCAACAGATGCTACTGCCTTGTGCCCTCAGTTCCCCGCCCGTGTCATGAAGCAGAGCGCTTAGAAATCCTCACTCGGGGGAGAAACATTCTGGCAAGCGTGGTTGGTTCCAACATTCTGGAGATTCTGGGCTCACTTGGGTGGGGCGAAGACCGCCAAAATCATAGTTACGTCCCTTGCCTTGACTCCCACCTCAGTCTGGTCCTTGGTGCCCGCTCCTCGGCCATCGCATTTCCGGGGCGGCCTGGGCTCACCCGGAACAGGTTTTCTCTTCTTCGGATAACTCCGTCATGGGGACCTCCGTCCAGCGCAAGCAGAAAGCAAATCCTGCTCGTGAGAGGGTGGAGTGCGGAACCTGCCGCGACCAGTCTGTCTCCTCGCCAGCGCTCTCGCCCCTGCTCTCCAGCTCCCGCCGGGTGCGCGCGGTCTTTGCGACAGCCACTTCCGGGAGGTTCGCCTCATCAGACTTCCCTCGGGGAACAAGTTTCTGCGATCTATAGCTTGGGGAGCCGGAGCCGCTTTCCAGAACGTGGAGGGGCAAAACATGCTCTCAGTGATCTCCGAGAACCCGCAGGCTTTAGGGAGCTTTGTGGGGCGCAAATAGAAGTGCTTTTCTTTCGCGAATTTTTTTAAAATTTGAAGCCCGAGCGGACAATAAAAAACGTACACAGGCCAAATTCCGGAGGACTGAGATTGTGACGAACAACCAGGAAGCGGCTAGGCTGGGAGCTGTCCCCGGTTCTTCACTCGGCTCTCGAGGCCCCTTCCCGGGGTCCTTACGCCGTGTTCCTCTGTCCTGCGTGGTCCTTGCCACGACCTGGGCTCCGGCCCGGGCCGATCACTCCGGAGCCACCATGTCATCCGACTTCGAAGGCTACGAGCAGGACTTCGCAGTGCTCACGGCAGAGATCACCAGCAAGATTGCGAGGGTCCCCCGACTCCCTCCTGGTGAGAGCCCTGACCCGGCCGGGTGGGGGTGGCCCCGAGGGCGCCGAGGCTCGCGGGCGGTGGAACGTCTCTGAGGCCACGAGGTGCTGCAGGGGCTCTCCCGGAGCGATGGAGCTGGACTTGGTTGAGGGTAAAGGCACAGTCCAGGCTGGGTTGTGGCGTGCCATGAAAAGAGTTTACCCTATCTGAGCCTTCTGGGCTGGAATCCGGACTTCACCGCCTTGTTATTTGTACAACCTTGGGAACGTTTCTCTGACTCTAAGTTTTTTGTTTTATTTTGTTTTGTTTCATTTGTAAAATAGAGATGTGAGTATTCAAAGAGTGAATGAACGTACCTAGATCATAGGTCTGCAATATACAGTAACCAGTTGTTTTGTTAGTAATATTATTATTATATGAAGCGAAATAGGATTAAGAGCCATGGTACCAGGATTCAGATCCCAGCTCTGCCACTTAAAAGTTGTGGCACTTGACTAAAGTTTCTTAAACCGCTCTCAACTTTCCTTCTTGGTAAAATGGGGAGAATTGTACGTGTGGAGATTAAATGATTTAACATATGGAAATCACTTTTTTAGTGTTAGCTGCTATAATCATTAGTATTTTTCATACCCCCAACCCCATTTCTTATTTCTCATCCTTCTTGGGAGACTGTAACCTAGTTTTATGTAACACTTGGTACGGGATAATTTTTCTCACTTTTTAAAATTCCACGTATCCCATCTAGAGGTGTTCTTGGTTTTGTTCTTATGTTTTATTTTTTTTTTTTAAAGAGTTTATTTGAGAGAGAGCGAGAGAGCACGGCGGTGTGGGGGGCGAGGGGCAGAGGGAGAAGCTGAGCAGGGAGCCTGCTGTCCTCCGGGGGCTCCATCCCAGGACTCTGGGATCATGTTAACAGTTTTAACAGAGAAGCAGTTTCTGAGCCAAAGGCAGACACTTAACCAACTGAGCCGCCCAGGTGACCCTTGTTTTTGTGTTTTAGCATATCTTGCTTTCCATGCTAAACTGTCAATTATGAAGCTGGGAGCTATGTTTGATTTCGTTGGCATTTACTTAGAAAGGGCTCAGAAAAATGTTTAAGTAAATGAACAGATGAATATGATATTTGGTAATTTTTTTGTATGTGAGACATTGTTTTAGGATTTATCTTTCTCTAAGTACAGATTTAATTTGAGTGGTTAGTTGCAGATAAGATTATTACTTTTAGCTTAGTTTTGTTAGGGAAATTGAACCATCGTCTGGACTTAGCCCTACCTGGCTCTGGGGTGTAGTGCGAAGAAAAGAGGATGCTCACTGATTTGTGAACTGGTGGGCAACTTCCCATTTCCCACCTTGTTGGTCAGTCCTTGATGCCAGCAATAATTTCTGCAGGACCTAAGTTGTCATTCCTCTTTCCCTACTTCCCCCAAACTTGTGTGTTTATAAATAATTTTCTTCCTTTATTTCTTTGTTTTTCTTTCCCCCTCCCCCACCTATTTTCTATTAATAGGGACATTTGCTTGAAACCAGGATCTCTGCACTTAACGCCCCACTCATCTCCTGAAGTCCCAGTTAGTTCTGGTGAGGTGGATGATGTCTTAAAGAGGTTTATGAGCCCAAGTGAGGGAACAAGAGGACAGAACCAAGGTAGCATATACCACCGAGCTCTGCTGCCTCAGAGATTTTTGTGGAGAAAGTGGCTGATGGCCTCATCACTTCATGATACATCACCTCGTCTCTTCAGTTCCGCTTTTCTCCACTGCCCAAGACCATCTTGATTTTTGTTATCCTTGTTGCTGGAGACTACTTCCTTTGACTTGAGTCCCAGAGTCTCAGAGTATCAGGACTTGTGATTTCAGTTGGATTTTTATTTATTTTTGTAACAGTTTTAACAGAGAAGCAGTTTCTGTTTGGGCTTGTAGATTTTTGTATTGGGAAGGTGTTTTATAAAAAGTAACAAAGTCATCCATGGGTGCAAAGTTGTAAAAGTTGTTTCCAAGAAAACATTTTGTTACAGTTGATTTTTTTTCTTATCTTTGTTTTAATGTAACCATTCTTATCATCTAGAAGGAAACTTTTTAAGTGCCTTAAAAATAAAGCCTTGACTGGCCTTGCATACAATATAATGTAGGGCCCAAACATAGCAGCTTCACCAGAATTGAAAGAAGACTGTGTAGTTGGCACTGGAAGAATGCTTACTGACCTGCCTAATTGAATGGTAGTAATTCTTAAAAATGTAGTAGTTTCCCTCTTAATAGTTACTTACACTTGCTTCCTTTGTAATCTGTTTCTAATTGATAAATAGAAAAGGATGAAAAGTATATCCATGAAGTTATGAATTTCAGATATATGTCTGTGAACTAACAAATTAATATGTATCACCATAAAAAATATGATAAAAAGTAATTATAATCTCTCTGAACATCATTAGTGGTTGACCTAGAGGAGATGAACTATGATTTACTTGATTTGAGAAGTTTAAAATCAGAGCAAACTTTGCAGCCAGAACAGTTCATTCCCCCAACTTATTAGCTTATTTAAATTGAAATAGAGTGAGTAGGGTTGATTGCAATGAACTTCAATCTCTGCTGTGCATGTACAATGTATTAAAGTGTTATCTCCAGAGAGAATAGAAAAGATTGAGTATTTTAAAACTTCATTTTAAAGAAGAAATTTGATTACTCTGTGACATGTTTTAAACAATAAAAAGACTTTGCTCTTAGACTGAAGTGTTTGAATTTAATGTTAGTACTTGGACTAATGAAACAGATTGGTCCCTTCTTAGGTAGTATTTTTATGACACTGTATTTGAAATTTAATTTTAATGATTAGAGTTCTGTGGCAAAGTCAGGAAAACAGATGAGTGAAAACCATAACTAATACTAATTGTGAAGTTATTTTTCCTTTGGTGAAGAATCCTAAGTGGGGGGATACTTTGCAGAGGTTCCCTTATATCAGGCAGGCATCCTCAAGAATCTTAAATACAACATTCTTCTGCAATTATTTGCTTACTTCATTTACAGAGAGATAAATGGTCTTTTGTGAATCCAACCATTTTGTAAGATTCACACATGGCATTGGGTCTGTTTAGAATCTCTGCTCTGCTACTTACTAGATGTGCAATCTTGGACAAATTGCTTGGCCTTTCTAAGCCTGCTTCCTCCATCTTTAAGTCAGGGAGAGGAGGTAATTACTTCAACCTTACAATGTTGTAAAAAATCAAATGAAAGAAAGCCTGGAACACACTGGCACAATTTTCTTCCCAGAAAATGTGCATGACAAATAGCTATTAGCAGTATTATTGCTATTGCTGAAGATAGGGTTAGTAGGACCCAGCTTCTCAGACTTTGTGATATTAATTGAACTCTTAAAGGAAACTTGGACCTCAATTCTTGCTTCCTTTTCTGCCTAGACTAGAGTTAGGTTGATCTCTCTTGCTGATGCCTGCATTTGAAAGGATATGAGTGATCAGGATCTTTTGGATATGAAATGAAATTGGGCTTTGAACTCAGGATATCAAGGAGGGAGGCAGGGAGAGAAGTGAAAGTGGTGGGGCAAGACAGGTGTCCTTTCTGGAAGAAAATGCTCAAGTCTCTCTCATTAGTTATGTCAGTCCTTGGAGGCTTTTGAAGACCACCTAGACATAGCCATGAATAGAAGAAGCTGTAGATGTTCCATGATTAACTCTTGGCCTTCGTAGTTGTAGTGGTTGTAGGTGGGAGAACTCAGAAGTCTGCTTTTATTTATGAATACTGTGGTTTGCTTAAAATGTATGTGGCTCTGGAGCTGTAATGTCCAAATGTTTCTACTGAGTGCTTGGAATATGGCTACAGAGTGAAATAATATTTTGGATATATTGGGCTAAATATTATTAAAACTATGCATATATTAAAGTTAATTTTACTTTTTAAAATGTGGATACTAGAAAATTTAGAATTACATGTGTGACTTGCATGCATTACATTTCTGTTGTTCCAGAGAGAGTTGAAGAGATGGTTCCAGTCCTTGAATTCAGGAACTTAGGTGCATAGTAAATTGGATTGTCATACTTTAATCCCATACCCACACTCTAATCCCAGAGGGACCACTCTCCCTTCAACAATGTAGTTAAGCTGAGTAATGGCTTCATTGATTTTTAAGAAATAACTTTTAATTTCAGACCAGGTTTAGATTTATAGAAAAATCACAAATACAGAGAACACCTATATATCCTATGCCCAGTTTCCTCTATTGTTAACATCATATATTAATATGATACATTTGTTGTTGCAGCCAGTGAACCTATACTGATACATTGTAATTAAATGAAGTCCATACTTTTTTCAGATTTCCTTATGTTTTGTTTTGTTTATCTGTTTGTTTTACCTAATGTCCTTTCACTATTCTAGGATCCAGTCCAGGATACTACAAAACATGTAGCAGTCAGGGCTCCTTATGTTCCTCTTAGCTGAGAGTTTTCTCAGACTTTTCTCTAGACTTTAGTTTAGAGGAGTACTGGTAGGATATTTTATAGAATATTCCTCAACTGCTATTTGCCTGATACTTTTCTCATGATCAGACTGGAGTTCTGGGTTTGGGGGATGAAGATCACAGAAATCACTATTTTTATCACATTATATCAAGAATATACTGTAACACAACTTATCACTACTGATGCTAACTAACTTTGACCACCTGTCTGAAGTAGTTTGTCAGGTTTTTCCACTGTAAAGTTACTCTTTTGCTTCTTTTCCATACTCTTTGGAAGGCAGTCCTATGCACAGCCCACACTTCAGGAGTGGGGAATCACATTCCACCTCCTTGAAGGCTTAGCATCTTAAATCATTTGGGATTCTCTACAGGAGAGATTTTGTCTATTCTTCTCCATTTACTTATTCAGTCATTTATATCCATGGGTTCATGATATTTATTTTATTCTTTGTATTGTATTCCAATACTACTTTATTTTGTTGCTCAAATTGTTCTAGCTTTGACCTTTGGAAGCCCTTTTAGCTGGCTTCTGTGTCCTTTTGATATACCACTATCATTGCAGGTTTGTTTTTTGTTTTTGTTTTTGTTTTTCCTTTGTAGTACTTTCTTACTTTCCAGTATTATAGAATACTCCAATATCATCTTTTGTTTTTCCTATACCAGTCTCAGAATCAGCCATTTCTATAAGGAGTCCTACTTCCATTTATTGAGAAATGGTGTTAGAAACCATGACCTAGGGGTACTTGGGTGGCTCAGTGGATTAAGCATCTGACTCTTGATTGTGTCTCAGGTCATGATTTCAAGGTCATGAGATCCAGTCCCATGTCAGGCTCCATGCTGAGTGTGGAGTTGGCTTAGGATTCTTTCTCTCCCTCTCCCTCGGCCCCTCCCCCTGTACTCTCTTAAAAAAAAAAAAAAAAGAAAAGAAAACAAGATCTGGATACTAGGTACACTCATTGCTACTGGGGTATTATTGCTTCTAGTCCTTCAGAGCTGACAGACAAGGAAGTACATGTGTGTACAGTAAATCATGTATATATAAATATTTGTATGTGGAGCCATCTGTAGTAAGCTAAGCATGAGTTCGTATGCTATCTCCAACTCTAATGCATTATTACATGGATCATTCTAGAATGGCTTTGTTTCAGTATTGACCATTCTCTACCATGCTACATAGTGTAGCATTAGTAATATATCCATTTTTAAGTAATATAAAAAGTTCCTCTCTTAGTGGTTTCACTGCACATTTCCCAGTACATAGTTTCTGCTGCTATTTTATCTAAAAATAGCTACATTGCACAAAGACGGGTACCAGTCACTGAATTCAAGTTAGCTCTGACACACTACTTTATGGGGGAGGGGGTGTATAAGGCTAACTAAGCACTTCTTTTAATACTAACAAAAAAACATGCTATATAGATTTGTGTGTATACCAGCACTAAGCACTTCTGTTAATATTGAGTGCACAAGGAAAGATCATACTATGCAAAGACTTATGTGTATACCAGCATTCATCAAGCCTATATGCAAAAGAAAAAAAAGGTGATGAAATTTGTTTATATAGTATATTTTATGAGTACATCAGAGGTTAAGAGCTCAGTTCTGAACAGCAGATCTTGTTGGAATTCCAACTCTGCAATTTATTAGCTGTTTAACTTTGGAGAAATTATTTAATCACTCTGAGTTTATGTACTTGATAATACTAGTATCTCCAAAGGGCCGTTTTGAGGATTGACTGTGGTAATGTTCAACACATAGCCCTGTGAAAATAATGATAGCTGTTAGTTACAAAGTTCTGAATCCTAGAAACATGCCATTTGTAAAGGGGTTGCCATTTGGTGTAGAAAGCATGGAACTGTCTTGGGAATTACATAGGAGTAGAGCTCAAAGACTGCCAAAAATGTAATGTTGGTAGATATTTCCAAGGTCATCTCATGCAGTCTTTCTTTCCTTCCTTTCTTCCTCATTCATGATTTCCTCCTAAATCATCACCTTTTCATTCCTTAAAAATGTGAGGAATGCTGGAGAGGGTTAAATTCAGAGTTAGGACAAAGATACGACAAGAGTGGTCCCTGCCTCCAAGGAGCTGGAAATGAAGGTGAGGGGAAAACTACAGAAAGCATTTTCTCATGACCATCAGAGCCACCAGAACAGAGCACAGAGGTCTGGGAATTCAGAGGAGATAAGATCTGTCCCAGGAAATCACCTCGAGGAGAGGTGGAAGTTAGCAGACAAAAATGGAGAAAGGGTATATTGAGAGAGGTTGCAGTAAGTGGGTGCTGTGGGTATCTGTTATTTTGGACTGCTCAGAATCCTCTATTCTATTTTCTGATAGCAGCACCTCAGTTTTCCATTGAGGAACTCCCTAAACCCAGTCTGGGTGAAACTGACAGGCAGCCATGCCCTATCCAGGTCAATAGGTGACCACATTACCCCAGTGAGTGCATTCAGAGGATGTTTGCTGTAATTCCAATTTTGGGCAGAGTGAACCAGGGAGAGAGCATGGCATTGCTGCTCAAGACTCTCCTTTTGCAGAGACTGTCAGTTCCTGTTCCCTCAGGGTACCCCGAGCCACCCTGGGAACTGTCCTTTCTAAGCTTGGGGGCTCATTTTTATCATTGACTCTATAAACCACTCCATTTTATTCCAATAAGATTCCCCCTCTAACTATAAAAGCTATCTTTCTAATAAATTCCCTTTTTTGGCTGAGGTTAGCCAGAATCAATTCTGTTGTATTCAGCCAAAGAACCTGAAATGGTAGCTTAAACAAAAGGTTAGAGCAGGAAAAGAGAGACAGAGAGAGAGGTGTTTGGGTAATAATGAATAGTCTGGTTAGCATGCAGCATATACAGTGGAGAGCTAGTAGTTGGAAATAAAGTTGGAAAGGTTGCTTGGATCTGGAATGTGAAGGACTTTGACTGCTAGGCTTAAGTGATGCAATCAAAGCCACATTTTAGGAAGATTAAGTGGTGGAGAGGAGCAGGTATGAAGACAGGGAAAGCAGGGTGGTTGGTAGCATAGCTTCTGTTGTCAATGTTTGCACTGTCTTACATTATTTATTCATTTAACTGTCATTTTTCAAGAACTGATCATATGACAGGCTCAGTGCTAGATTTTATGACTATAAAGATAATTAAGACATGATTAAAGCCCCGAACCTAGAAGATAAATCTGACCTGTAAGTGTGAGAGATAAATTATTGGAATTAGGTAAGGATTGTAGGTGTTTTCTGTAAGAGAGAGCAGCCAACTCTTTTGTCAGGTTAGGTTTTGTCAGGTTCGAAGAGTTGATGATTTCTGAATCCGAGTTTTGAATAGCAGTTTGCCAGGCAGTTACAGTGGAGGTAGGCATAGGCATTGGGATTAAAGGTCTGGGGTCCTGGAAATATATCAGGATTAGAGATAAAGATTTGGGATCATAAATGTATAATATAACAGTTTAAAAATGAGAGTGGATGAAATTGTGCAGGGACATAGATCATAGTTGTAAGAGAAGAAAAGGACTGAACTCCCAGGAATGCCAACAAATTTAAGGATAAACGGAGGAAAAGGATCTGGCAGAGACCAAAGTGAGTGTGTAGGAGGATCGGACAATCAGAGTGTCTTGGAAGCCAGGAGATGAAAAAGTGCTAGGATCGGAGGAGCAGAATGTTGGATGCCACAAGATTAAGTAAAAGTAGGACCAGAGAATGTCCGTTTGTTTCGGCAGAGAAAAGGTCATCAGACTCAGGGTCATTTCAGTGGATTGGTGGGGGTGAGAGCGAGATTACCGGGAGGAAATGGGGAGATGAGGAAGGGAAACATGACTGTGGATAGAGGAGAGAGAAATTAGTAGCAAAGGGGAATACAGGACAAGGAAGGCTTCTTCCTTTGTTTTGTTTTATTGATAGAAAAGCTGGTGCTTCTTAGTCCTGGAGGCCTGGCATGGACTTTCCTAACAATTGAACACCTTAAAGCAAACCAGATGTTCCTTCTGCTATGTAAATTCACAATCTCACCCCTGGTCCAGGATGGGCTTATCTTATTTCATATTCTGCTCCGGCATAAAAATAGTAAGCTTCTCCTGTAACTTGTGGAGGTGTCAGATAGATGACATGTGCCAGGAGCAAATAAATTTGGGGTCATATACTGAATTTTTAATCTGGCCACATGTAGCCTTAACTTTTTCAAAGAGGGAAAAACAAACTAAATTTTAATTTCAAATGTGCATTTTTCCTATTTGGAGTACACACAAAACATCTTAGGTGACAGCTACCCCCCCCCCCAGTTTGGGGGGAATCAAAGGGAAGGGGTTGGGGATGGCAGAACCTAATTATGGTTCTAGCAAAATAATAATTTCTACTAAAGATTCCCCACTTAGTGTTGACTATCCTCCTGAAGAGTTAGTTAGCTATTAAATGTGGTAGACACAAAACCATAAATGTTCAATAAATTTGCTTAGCGCAAAACTTAGGTGTAGTCTCTGAATAAATGGACTTCATCACTTACATACAGCACCCAGTGCTCATCTCTACAAAGGCACTCCTTAACCCATCACCCATTTACCCCATGTGACTTTTAAATTGTAGTCATAAGTCAGTTATTCCCAGTTTATTAAAGTCATGACTCCAAAGACTCCTTGTGCAACCACTAAATTTGCACATTTGTTGTTGACACAGATTCTTCTAAAGGACCAACTAATTTTTGTTTTCTCTTAGAAATGTTATGGCATCTTTTCATAATTAGGTACTCCATAGGATTATATATAGCCTAGACTCAGTGGCTTAAAGTGGTTCCTAACCCACCAAAGAATGATCTGGTCGTCTGCCTGATGTGGTAATTCTCTACTCTGACCAGAAAGGAAAAGGCATATAAAAAATAAAAGTTTTTATATATTACATTTACTTGTATTCCTAGCAATTCCTTGGTATTTATTGTTTGTTTCAGATGAGAAGAAGCAGATGGTTGCAAATGTGGAGAAACAGCTCGAAGAAGCAAAAGAACTGGTAGGTACAGACATGGTCATATATTGTAACATACAACCAGAGCCTGTTCTGCTGATGCCTTTCTCTAACCTGTTTTATACTATGTAGAAACATGAAACATTTCTGATTAGCATTTTATAATTCGGACTTCATCAGTTTTTAAGTTGAAGATAACTTAATAGTTTCTTGGGATTCATGAAAGGTCCACCTTTAATTTTTATTCCTTCATAATACTTTTCATAATAGCTAGAAATAGCTCATGCTTGTTAAAGGCATACTGAGTACCAGACACTGGGTTAAGCATATTACTTGCTTTATAATATTTAATTTTCCCACAAGCCCTGTGAGACAAACGCTATTCATCAAGAAGTGTTAAAGATCTGAGATGTTCCCCTACTTGCTTTGTAACAGGTGAGCTTGCCATAGTTTCATGGATGCTGGCAGAAGACAAGAGATTCCTAGGTCAGAGACAAAAGAATTTTATTACGGCAAAAGGTGCTGCCAGTTTCAGCACGCTACCTCAGGTCCCTGAGCCCCAGCTGTCACAGGGTGATGCAAGTTCGCCTGGAAGAATGCCTACATACAGCGGAATACCTTACAGGAGGGAAGCCTGGAGCTTGGGAAATGCCCTGCTTTGTAGCAGCCTGAGAGCAAGCCTGCTGTTTGTCCCAGAGGGACACAGTATTTCCTCCCCCAGGCCTGCTCCCTGTAAATACAACCCTGAGAAATGGCTTGAGAAAGGAGCGGTCAGGGCCTCGCATTCTTGGCGTGCCCAGCAAGACATGTGGGAGGGTGAGAGACCCACAGAGGAGTGATGCTCAATGCCATTCTTGCCCCCATTTTGTAGACGGGGGAAACTGAGGCCTAGAGAGATTAAGTAACTTTGAGGTACCACACCCAGCAAGTGGTGGAGTATGGACTTGTATTTAAATGTGCTAAACCCAGAGCTCCAGCTCATCCACTACTTTTGGATATAAATAAACTTGCAAATCAAGGAACGAAAAGTATTAAAAAGTATTGTGTCCCAGTTTTTGGTTTCAAAGCCAAGTATCACAAGTACGACTCTACTTGTTACTGCATTGTGGTCCCAAATGAGTGTGTCGCTTTCCTAAATACTCAAGGGTGCTCCTTGGGGTTCCTTCAGTACATACTTACTGATTTACTTAGAACAATTCGCCAAGTGTGCTTCTGGTGACTGCTGTTACCAGTTCAAGTAAGTTTGGGAAACTAGCTAGCTTAGAAAAAATTGGAGGTTGGCATCTTTTTCAGTTGTTTTTCTACAGAATCTTCTTGGACCCTGAAGGAGGCTTAGGCATTATGAATCTCTGAGAAGGGACTGTAGGAGGCAGCTAAAGTACCTGGAGCATTTCCAGGCTTATTTGACCGACTGACTGACTTTGGCTGACAGGGCCATACACAAGGGGCTGCCGTTTTAGGGGCTCTGCAGAAGCAGGTGGCTGTCATTCCCCACAACACAGCAGACCTTTGCTCTGTGACTTGGAGGGCTGAGGTAGCGAGATGCACCACACTGCTCCATCTTCTCTGGCTCTTTTCTAGCTGTCAGAATGTCGGATGCTCTCCAGGCTCCAGAAGATTCGCTTCTCATCTCTGCTGTGCTGTTGCCACGGCAGCTTGGCTTCCAACTCCCCAGCTTCGAATGTTTGCCTCTCGTTTGACAGTTTCTCCCTTTTGCAAATGCTTGTCTCCTTACTTTCTTTTCTTTTTGTATTCAACTATTTCTCTCATGCTTTCTGGCTTTCATGTAAAAAGACTGACCTCCTGCATACTGTAACTGCCCGTTAGGACACCCCTTCCTTCTGGCTGGAAGCTTCCCATCAGTAGTGCGGTGCAACTGCTCAGTTATTTGGATCTTGAGTTGACCCCTTAAGTTGTTGTTGAGTTCGCAGGAGCAGTTCTTCTGCCTCAAAATCTGTGTTGGTTTGTTGAGCCATCAAGGTACTCAATGATGTTAGAAAGCTGGTTTCCTAATAACCAAGATTTTACTGGACCAAGAAGTATAAAACATAGTCGTCCCTCATGGAGCTTGTAATCATCTTCTGTCGTGACCAACCTCAAGAGTTCTATCTAAGATAGGTGTTTCTATTTGTTTAAAATGATCAGACAGCTGATTTACTTAGTTCCGATGACATCCTTGTTAAGGACACTGTTCATTGTATTACATCCTCTCCTTTGGACAAGGGAGGACCCTGGCAGAAAAACTTCTTTTTGATTTCACTTATTAGGATTACTTGTGTTTCTGCCGAACAACTGGTTTGTATTAATCTCTTGGACGCTGCTTGTCTTGTGATTACCATGTCCCCCACGTTGTATTGGCCATCTGAATATTGGGACAACACGAAACAAGTTCATGTTAACCTTATTCCTGGTTTTGTTGGAAGTGCTTGTTGTGTGTTTCCTTTTTTTCTTACCTACTTTTAATTTCGTTTTCAATGTCTTTATAAAATGCCTTAAACAGCAGTGTAGTTAACTCTCGGATTTTCACTTACATGTACTTAGGCAGTTATTTGGATGATCCTGCTCACCTTGTTAGAACTAGCTACTTAATGATGATTTCAAAGAAGTGGTTTTTTTTTAATTTTTAAAAAATATTTTTATTTGTTCATTAGAAAGAGAGAGAGATCACAAGCAGAGGGAGTGGCAGGCAAAGGGAGAAGCAGGCTCCCCACTGAGCAAGGAGCCTGACACGGGGCTCAATCCCAGGACCCTGGGATCATGACCTGAGCAGCAGACGCCCAACCAACTGAGCCACCCAGGCCCCCCGGGAGAAGTATTTTATTTTATTTTTTTTTAAAGGTTTTATTTATTTATTTGACAGAGAGAGACATAGCAAGAGAGGGAACACAAGCAGGGGGAGTGGGAGAAGGAGAAGCAGGCTTCCCATTAAGCAGGGAGCCTGATGCGGGGCTCGATACCAGGAACCTGGGACCATGACCTGAGCTGAAGGCAGACGCTTAACGACCGAGCCACCCAGGCGCCCCCCGGGAGAAGTATTTTAAAAAATTGCCTTGCTGAGTAACAATTTAATTTATTAGTGCTTCACATTTATGTTGCGGCATGGCAATAATTTAAGTAGTCACTGCTTAAATCTAGTTAAAACTATCTCTCTCTCTCTCAATAAAAATTAAGACCCATGAATTAAAACATGGTTTTCTGGTTTATCGGAGAGCTGCTATTGTTATTCAGTCTCTAATGCTGGACAAGTAAGAGGTTTTTTTTTTTTTTAAAAGATTTTTTATTTATTTATTTGAGAGAGAGAGAGAATGAGAGGAGAGTGTCAAGAAGCAGACTCCCTGCTGAGCAGGAAGCCCGATGCTGGGCTCGATCCTGGGACTCCAGGATCATGACCTGAGCCGGAGGCAGTTGCTTAACCAACTGAGCCACCCAGGCGCCCCTGGACAAGTAAGAGTTTTATTAGTGATAAGCTTATAGTAGTCATGGAAATAATTCATTAGAAAGCTTTAAAAGGTAAAATATAAGCAGTGTTTTCGGATGTGAGTTTATTTGACATGGCCTGAGCCAATTTGCTGTTGGTGGTGGTTTTTATTTTTTAATGCCAAGTGTAAATAAGCTACCTCTGATTCCTTGTGTTTATACTTGCTGTATTTCTTCTGCATCATCAGTAATCATCTCTACTATTATTAACATTAATCTAGTCATTACCAAGCAAGAGACATTGTTGTAAGCGCATCATAGGAATTACACCATATAATCTTTACAGCTGTCCTACAAAAGACTGTCTATTTTTAGAAATGAGAAAAGTAAGGCCCAGAGGAGTTAATAAACCCATCCGAGACTGCCCAGCTAGTGAGTAGTGGAGCCTGTGATGTGGATGCAGGCGTCTGACTCAAAAGCCTGTGTTCTTAACCGTCACACTCTTTATGTATTGCCTCTCAGTAAATGCGCATGTGTTGTATCCAAAGTGTTATTAATGCCAGATTCTTGAAAAGTATGCAGTTGTGATATCAGTGAGCTTTGTGTAATTTAGTAAATTACTGTATCCATTTAATGCCATAACATGGTTATAAAGTAGAAGGAGTTAGGCTGAAGGTTGAGATCACATACTGGTTGGCATGTGATTTTCCTAATCAGAAAAGAGTTTCCAGAAGAATTTTCACCAAATCACTAAGGCTGAGCTGACATTTTATAGATTTAGGGTAGAAATAATGGTTTGTTTTATGTTCCCATAGTCCTGGTTGTTGGTTTGGGGTCAGAAGACCAAACCAGGTGAGGTTAGATTGAATGATAGGACACACCAAAGGTATTAAAATTGTTATTATTGAAGATGTTTGGATTAATGCATATGTGTGAAAAAAAAAAAACAAACATTCTTGACAAAGTGAGTGCTTTGGCACTCTGCATGTCACCAGCAAGCACTCAGGAACTATTTATTTGTTGATGTAAACAAAAGTTAAGCCCCCAAAGCAGTCCCAATGTTATTTGATCATAGGCAGCTATCTCCCTCGGCCTGGCTCCTCAGGTGTAAAATGAGACATTGGGATTAAATCCTTTCAGCTCTAAATGTCTGGCCAAATAAAGTATAAGCATATGATTTAAGTCACGTTTTCCTCTCACCCTACCAGCTTGAACAGATGGATCTGGAAGTCCGAGAGATACCACCCCAAAGTCGAGGAATGTACAGCAACAGGATGCGAAGCTACAAACAAGAAATGGGGAAACTTGAAACAGATTTTGTGAGTCAGATTACCCCTCTCTGTCATATTTACCAATCTTTAAACTGCACTTTCGCCTCTGTTTTCTGTTGTTTCCTCCACACGCCAGTTAGCCGATATGCAGAGTCTCTGGAAGCTGGTGCAAAAGACAGCACAGTTTTTATTATTTATGGCTTGGGGGTCTAAAAATACTTAAAGAGCTAGCTAATGATGGCATATGAGGTACGTTGGATTCCTGACTCACAGGTAGATCCAAAGCATGTCGTCCTCTGAGTTTAGAGAGTATTTATTGATACTTAGCATTAATTAGAATTTTGAAACCCAATTTTGGGCTTTTCTTAGTCTGCAGCCTTTCAGATGCAGTGTTCATAGATGGACTTCAGGGGCACATGAATGTCCTGAAATTATATAGGTATTTATGGATGTCCATTCCCATGTGCACTTTTCTCCTGGGATAGGTGCCATAGGCTTTATTAGAGTCTTAAAAGGACATGTTACACTCCTTCCACCAAAAGGACAAAAATAATTCAACTAATGATTTATACAAGTGATCCTTTATACCAGTTGCTCCAAGAGAATATTTAGCTTTCTCTCCCTATGTATCGGACTTTCAACTCTACCTACTTTATACAAATTTAAGAATGCAAATTTACACATATAATGTTGAAATTGTTAGTAATTAGAAAGTAATAGGAGTTTGAAAGATAGAGCTGAGCAATTTCACTTCTGGATATATAACCAGAAGAATTGAAAGCAGGGTTTTTATATTTGCACACCCATGTTCATTGCAGCATTATTCACAATACCAGAAGATGGAAATAACCCAGGTGTCCAGCAGCGAATGAATGGTTAAACAAAATATGGTACATGCATATTACTCAGCCTTAAAAATGGTGGAAATTCTAACGTATGCTATGACATGATATGACATGACATGACATGACATGCTTGAGAACATTATGCTAAGTGAAATAAGCCGATCATGAAAGACAAACAGTATATGATTCTGTTTATATTATGTACCTGGAGTAGTCAAAGATAAGAGACAAAGTAGAATGGTGGTTGCTAGGGACTGGAGAGAGGGGGAAACAGGCAGTTATTGTTTAATGGGCGTAGAGTTTTAGTTTTGCAAGATGAAAGGTTCTAGAGATCGGTTGCTCAACATGTGAATATATTTAACACTATTAAACTGTACACTTAAAAATGGTTCAGATGGCAAATTTTATGTTATGTGTATTTACTACTTAAAAAAAGGTACAGACGAAGAACTGAGCTTTACCTGTAAATGACAGAGGAGTCATGTCTTGGTATGTGAATCAACTTCATTTCTGACCCTGGGGTCCAAATTCATAAAGAAGGTCAAGAATTTATGAGGGTCTTTCTGCCTCTGTTCCTGCCTTAAGTGTTTTGCTTATGGAGGCTGTGTCTTCTAGACTAGAGTGGTACCGGACCCAGTAGAAATCCCCCTAGAATCTGGAGATAGGGTGATTTGCAGTTATGCATATTTATTTTATATTTTGATGGATACTTTCCTGAGAAGTCAAGATAGGCTACGTCAGTGACTCTGATGCAGTTGCCTTTTAAATTGTCTTTCCATTAATTAAAAAAAAAATTGGAATCTGCCATGGGCCTAAATTCAGAAAAGAAGCATAACTGCCCAGCTCCTGTGCTCTGTGCTAGATAAAACCTTCTCTAATTGCTTTGCGAAAGGTGGGTTCTCTTAGGGAGAATATGAGGTATAATGAGGAAATTTAAATTGATTTGAGAATTTGACAGCTCAAATTTATACTTAGACAATTCTAATTAAAATTAGTGTTTCAATATGAATGATGATAGTAAAGTAAAATATTTATGAGGATTATTTTAGTTTGCTAACCTCATCTTTATGAAACTCCTTTACAAAGGTTTCTCTCTTGGTTTCTAAAATAACAAATTATATTAGTTTGTGAGGGCTGCCATGATAAAGTACCACAGACTGGATGGTTTAAACAACAGAAATTTATTTTCTCACAGTTCTGGAGGGTGAGAGTGTGAGATCAAGGTGTCAGCAAGGTTGGTTTCTTCTGAGGCCTCTCTCCTTGGCTTGGCGATGGCTGTCTTCTTCCTGGGTCTTCACATGGTCTTCCCTTTGTGTGTGACTATGTTGATTTCTTCTTAGAAGGAGACTGGTCACATCGGATTAGAGCCCACCCTGGTGGCCTTGTTGTAACCCAGTTAACTTCTCCAGATGCAGTCACTTTCTGAGGTACCAAAGGTTAGGACCTCAACATATAAATTGAGGTAGTAGACACAATTCAGCTCATAACACTGAATTTAGTTTTAATCTTTTCTTAAAATTTTTTTCAGAAATTAAATTGCTTCTGTTGCTTATAAGTCAGCTAGCTCAATCTTCATTGTTTTTTTTTTTGTTTGTTTGTTTTTTTGTCTCCTGAAGAATATAATCTGGTTAGAGTCTTTTAGGTATTTGGATATTGTATACTTGGGTACGTATTTCTTAGGCATATTTTCTGTTCTAAAGAAAAATGGAATCAGTAACTGTGATCTGAACATCTGTTCTCCAGGCTGTCATTAAAAATTCATGTATTTATGTGGATAATTATTAGCACAACTTTCTTTGATTGTGTCAGGAAGCATCCTTTACCACTACCAGCCCCCACCTTCCATGGTATAGTGACTTAAAGTTTATAAAGTGCTTTAACATACACTATTTCATTTCATTGTATGAGGAGTAGACGGAGTAGATGCGGATGACTATCCCCATTTTATGCATGATAGAACGAAGAAGTTCGGATTGATTCTGCATGCCATTCAACACATCATTCTCAAGCCCAGCTGTGTGTAAAACATTGCCCTAGGTGCTTGGAAAAAGCTGTGATGAAGATAAAGTTCTTGTTCTCATGGAATTTAAACTCTAGTGGGAAAGACAAGAAACAAATAAACAAATACATCTATATCATAATTTCAGGGAGTGATGAGTGCTATAAATGAAAATAAAGTGAGTAAATGGGTGAGAGTGGCTAGCACAGTGGTCATGGCTGTTTTTGCTAGAGTGTTCTCTGTGGCGTGAGTGAAAGAGGAAGAGGCACATGTGTTTACAGAGGGAGGCAGAGGGAAAAATCTACAAGGGCATTGTAGACATGGTAAAGACCTTGGCTTTTGCTCTGGATTGATGAGAAGCCTTTGAGAAGTGAGTGGTCCTTTGACGCCTCCCCTTCACCTTCCTGCACTTTTCCTTACCACACCACGTGAGGTGTTCAAACAGGGTATAGAAGATAGGTACATAATTCCCTTTTGATTCATATTATCTTTTTATATTTAATTCTTTTTTGTTTAAAGGAATGAAGGCTATCTTTTTAAAAACATTTGATAGCTTTCTTATGGTGCTATACCTAGAAACATTGAACCCCAAGAAAAATAGCAAAGATGGTCCTTCACTGTTATTGCAGATGAAGCAGATGTGCTATTCCCCTTGTGACATCGAGACCTTGGGGGACCATTTGTACCGATGAGGAAAGGCAGAGGACACCTCAGTACTTCTTTCTTCGACTCTTATCGTCTACTTGCTTTCTTTTCTCGGCCCCTCCTCCTCTGCCTGTTGCTTAGACACTGGATTCTTCAGGCTTCTCTGCTGACTCCCACTGTCTTACTCTGTGTGGCATCATCCACTCCTGTGGCTTCAATGACTGGGTCTACACCACCCTGCATTTCTGACCCAGACCTCTATAGCTCTAGATTCCTACTTCTTACTACTTACTTTATTCCAGAGTCCCTTAAACACGAACACTTAATTTGACAAGTTCTAGTCACTTCCGAGTTAATCTTTAATTTCTCCCTCGCCATCACTTTACACGTCCAGTTGATCACTGAGAATTAGCAGTCCTGCCCTCAAATATCTCCCACTTTCATCTCCACTACTGGAAGCTCTCATGTGTTTCCATCTCGATGTTTGTAGCAGCCTTTCCTCTTTCTATTCTTCTCCCGCTCTAAACCACCGTCTGCACCAGTCTCGAGTTATCTTTCTAACACACTGATCTGAATATGTCACATTGTTCTGCAAAATCCCATGGACTGCTCATTGCCTGCTGAATAAAATTCAGGTCAGCTAGTAGGTTTTCTGTTCTGTTCCATTGCTTCTTCACATGTCTAGGAATTTTATTATCACATGCTTGGTATTATGGATCATACATTGTTAAAAGCCTAGATTTTGTTGGTTTCCTTTAGAGTGCTGCATCTCATCCTTTTTTTCATTATCCCCCCCCAAGGAACCTTTCTAGACTTTTTTTTCCCCAATTGCCCCTTCCTCCTCCCACTCCCATGAAATTTTAATGCTACAGATATACTATATATCTGTACATACTATGACCCTTTGGAGGGCCCCATCTCTGTAATATCCAAAATTTTTCATCCTCCCAAGAACCAATTTTTGCCTCCATGACATGTTATCACCTCTGCTGTCGATGCATGTTTTAGAGAATTTTTTTTCTTTTTCAAGTAAGCTCTATGCCCAGCATCAGGTTTGAACTCCCAACCCTGAGATCAATGGTCACATGTTCTACCTTAGACTAAGCCAGCCAGGCACCCCCTAGAGAATGTTGAGCTTTATTTGGGCAAGCAGATAACTTACTAACAGATCAGATTGGTCCTCTCAAGGCTATTGTTAAAGTGTTTAAGGACATGTCTAGAGTAGACCTACTTTTGAGGTATGGCTTTTCTTGGCTTCCCTTTGAATGACTGGAGTGTTCAATGACTGCTCTGCCTTGTGTTTGGTCAGAATTCTGTCTCCCTGCTTTGGATGACCTCCAGAATCTCCATTCCATCCATAGCCCCCCAGTACCTGTTCTCCGCAAGGCTTTGTGGGATTTTGCCCTCTGCATATTCAAATTCATTTTCTTTGAAGGCTGAAGGAGAACGCTTTATAGATTTCTGGAGCCCCTTCTCTGTGTAGCTCCCTTCTCTATACTACTGTGCTAAATTCTCTGCATCTCAGTCCCAAACTCCAGTGTCTGCCTCTTAAGCTCAGG